ATGGAACGGATAGAGTATAAAATATGGACTTTGCCTCAAGTTTCATGGTCCAATAGGAGAAACAACTATCATTTTAATTATAAAAATGTACTATAAATACAGATTAACATGTTTTGACAGAAAAAACAAATATATATATAGATTAACATGAATTACTAATGAAAACACTCGAGTAAACATCTGAATAGATTTTTTTGAAGAAAAATTGTTTCGTGAAAATCATAAAAAGAAAAAAGTATTTACGTTTGTAACATTCCGGATGATTTTTTTTATAAAAAATGTCATAATGCAATGTTGTGCAATGTTGTAGTGTACATTTTTTAATCTGTACATTTTTGAACATTCCGGATGTGTTTATGTTAAGGTTACAAACGTATTAAAATCTGTATATGAGTGTGTTATGGTAAATAAAAAAAAGACCACAAGGTAGAGAACAAAAATGGGTTATATATTTTGCATATTTTCATAATATATATAAACTTACTTATTCTTATGGTTTAATTGATAAATCAGCTAATCCTCTAGTAGTCAAGTAGCCTTTTTAAATTTTAACTTTGCAAAGAAGAAGCGAATATCAAACCAATAATATCATGAGAACTCGGCTAAGTGGAAAGGTTCTNTATAGCTCTCGGCGAGTTACAAAATTAGCAGATAGTGGATATATATTATCTAACATAAAAGACAAAAAAAAATCTATATGAAAATAGAAAATATATTATCTAATCAGGAGTCATTGAACATAATGAGGCAAACGTATGTTTAGCTTTCGCCACAAATTACTTCAAATGATACCAAAAAGGTTCCAATCATTATTTTCTCTCACATAAACAATCCACCAGCCCACCACTTTCTCCCTCTACACTCGTATCTTTAAAAATTACATCAATGAAAATATTACTTAAATACTATAGTGTAAGCACGACAATATTATATACATAATCTTGCTTCTAGTAATGTAACCAATTAAGTACATATAACACGTCAAATATTTTACTCTTTTTACTTAAACATGTCAAAACGTATATTATATTAAGTCCGTTGTTGTTCTATTCTTTGTTTTGCAGCATATACAATTTTTTGTTAGAAAATTATGAAAAATATTATAAAAGAATTATTTTTGTGTCTAATGTGAAAAAAAAAAGAATTACCATGTGTGTGTATTTTTATATATATCCAAAACGAATTTGAAACAAATTATAGATAGTCTAAAAAAAAAAAATTATAGATAGAAATTATTGTTTAGTAATCTGTGTGTTTTATGCTAAATGACAAAATTAGTATATTTGGAAAAACTTAATAAAGAATA